CAGGGGCCATATACCAGCACGCGCCTTTTAGGTCAGCAAAAGCCTCCACAGGAGACCTGTAGAGTCGGGTGCTGGTAGTTATACTTCTGCCGGTCCCCAGCCCTTTGTACATGACATCTCTATGTGGAAGATCTTGCTTCGATCAGAACCCCCCCAAAAAACACCTTTGAATATGTTTTTGGAGTCAACAGCTGAATCATTCATCTGAACTATACCTGGTTTCCTGGGCAAAAAAACACACTTCAAACCTTCATTCCCTTTGGTTTCTCCGTGCACACAACAACATGAAACCAAAAACAGAGAACACAATGAAATGTGATTGAGAAAACCTGAATCCCAATTCAATCCACTCCGCAGGGCAAGATCAGAGTGAATGTTTTCCATGGAGTGCCCACTTCCACGGCAGGTCCTCCAGGTTCCACGGCAAGTCCTCCAGGTTCTGCCGGGGTAACGCGCCTTTTCCACGCCGGTTGCGCGTGGCCTTGCCTCAGGAAGCCTTCTACCAGTCGGTGGCCCATGCCTCCGCCGCGGGCGCCATCATCCGTGTCGGGGAGCAAGTGCACCCCTTTAAGCCACTGGGCCGCCAGTGGATGGAGAAAATGATCGACGAGGCAGTGGACATCATGGATCCCAGACACGACACAAATGGGACTGCCGATCAGTGCAGGTGCTTTGGGGGGGGTCAATGTAGGCATAAATGGCATACATGGAATTTTTGGAGATGCCCTTGAACTTTCTGTAACAGTCAGTTCAGTACTCAATCCCTCTAAGTCAATGACCTCGTTAAATTTGTTCATATAGAATTGGAGACACTCACCACTATTTACTTTATTAGAACCTAGTTTTACTTGGTCCCACTAAAGTTCCGTTAAAACCAAAGATAGTGTTCATGATCTCTTCAGGTGGTTTGGAAGGGAATCAAAGGCGATTTTGAGTGATAATCCAGGTGTTCTTGGTGGTTTTGAGGCTGATTATTCGACATTAAGAGCAAAGAGGCCTGAATTGTTGGCCAACTATTCAGCGTAACAGGACCATAACAATTCCGTAACAACCCCCTCCAGGAGACTTCTAAAACTGCAAATGATCTTCCAAAACCGTAACAGGAGCGTAACTGTAGCGTAACAGGTCCTTAGTCCCCTAATGTTTGCCAAATGTAAGGAAATCGTGACCAGGGTTTTTAAATTTTGCAATGTTTGACGTTATCTGACAGTTGTTTTGTTTGCATGAATTAAACAATTGGGTGCATTTTTGCAGGTTCTATGTGCCATTAGTGCGGTGATGTTGAACTCGCGTGGATGAAAGGGCTTGGGTTCCGACAAATAAAAGGTACCCGTAAAACTTGTTCTTTTTGAACAGTACTCGTTTAACTTGCACTTCGGACTTGCAGGGAATAAGGCTTATGTCTGAACAAACCCTGCAACTATTTTTGAACAAGCCCTGCAACTGAACCATCATCATCCACTGTTACTTGTAATAGGATGGACCCAACTTTTAGGTACCGAAATCGAACCCCTCTATTGTTCCAAAGGGCGGACATCATTGGTGGACATGGAGTTGTCAAGCGAGGGGGTGGAGGAACTCACCGGGCGGGAGATTATGGGAGGAGTAGGCGGTCGTTAGGGAGACTCCAATTTAACTAGTGGTTTGCGAGGCCCCTTCATATGTTTGGAATCCTATGGGGTTGGATTGTGGAGGAAGGAATCCAAGTAGTGTTCATAAATCGACAAGATTCGGAAATCCCTTGACGTTGTAAGCTGTAGCACAGCAATGCCAATTGACAGCACCTGAAATTACATGTCGGGTTGGTTTTTAGATGTTTTCAGTCCCATGTTCTAGGGCACCCCTACCCTCCAAGTTCACCTCCCAGGCGCCGCTCGCTCATGCTGCACTCCCCACGTGTGTGGCGACCCGGCGGACCCTCCGAGACGGACCCAGGAGGGTGTCTTCCAGTCTTCCCCCCAGCAAAAAATAGCTCCTGGCGACTCTTCCCATTCTTCTCAGGTTCGGTGGGCAGAGACCCCCCCCACCCAAACCACCTTGCCGAAACGCAGGTAGGCCAGGAGCCCTTTGGGGGGTTATACCCACCACAAGCCCCTTTAGGAACCAGAAATCGGTCCTCCCCGACAGGACAATCGGTCCTCCCCGGAGAACAGCATCCCCAACGCACCCCTTCCGAACAACGGAAATACGAATGGCCGATATCACACGTCAGAAAGCTTGCAGTTGTGACCTTCCCGGATGCAGTGACCCAAGTTGCGAAGTATATAATATCTAGGCAATTTAAAACGACGTCACCGACGTCACCCTGAAATTAACGAGCAAGCTGAAATTAAGGTATGGTTATGGTCATACTAACATCACACACACACACGCAAAACACACACACACACACACTTCATCGACTTCACAGTCCTGGCAGAGATTTTGGAGGCGCGGGCGGGCGTGGGCACTGGATCTAGGACTGGATTTGCATGGGGAAGAGGATGTCAGTCAGTTGGAGTTTTGCTTGAGTTTTCGGGCTCGAGTTTGCAAAAAAATAAGAAGTCATGCCTCACCTGCTCACTCTCCACACCACTAAAAAACACTGCCCAATTTCGAGGTCGGGAAGTTTTGAAGTTCTTTTAGTCTTTTGAAGTTCTTTTCTCAGAGACGGCGCATTCAGCCAGATCTTGTGGACGAAAAAGATCCTTGGAACTTGAAATAGTGATGGTTTGGTTGTTTTCCCTTTCACACCCAACCTGACTGGTTCTTTCCTGGCAAAATCGTTTTTGGGCCTAGTTCGCCGAACTAGGATTTGAGGCCTGGCGGCCTTGAAAGTGGATTGTTGGGGCCTTATTAGGTTGTAGCTCGGCAAACTACGCTGGGAAAAATTAGTTTTCGCTAGCTTTCCTTTGCGTGTTGTCAAATTTGTCTTGAAGCAAGATTTTGGGCCAACGAAAGGAAACAGGAGGGGGGCAAGGGGAGTCGAACCCATAAACTTTGCCGAGCTCATAGGTGAAGCGTGTGGTCCTAAAACGAGTTTGCTTCACTACAGGGGCTTGTTTCAGGCTAGTTGTCGGGTTTCCCCATCTGGGCCTGGAAACGAAGCTCTCCTTTTCAGAAGCGTCCCCAAAAACGATTTCGGGCCTAGGTCGCAAATTTGTGATTTTGAAGGACATTGCCAAACTGCAAGAATCAACGGAAACCTTGATTCCCAAAGCTGCAGTTGGGCGCTTGGTGGAAGAGGAATTGGATGCAGCGTCGCAGAGGCGGCAAGCTGATCGACAGGAAGGAGTTGAAGAATTTTTGGTTGATCGATACAAGATGTCGTCTGATGCCTTGAAACTTCTCCAAGAGGCAAGTGAGGCTCATCTGGTTGATATGTTCTCCAACATGAATGTTTTGGCCAGGCACCGCAAAGCGGTGACAATAGAGCCGAGAGATTTGAACGTTCTCAGGTACCTCAAGCAATAGTTTTCCCTCCCTGGCAAAAATCCATTGTGCTTGCTGAGCTGGCTCTTGATCTTCGTACGAACGACCAAACTTATTGCTGGTGCCCCTTCCACTACCAGGCGTGAGGACTCTACTAGGGGCTCCTGGCCTTACTACTAGGAGCGAGGACTCTGCTAGGGGCTCCTGGCCTTACTACTAGGCTCCCTCTACCAGGGGCTCCTGGCCTTGCTACTAGGAGCGAGGACTCTACTAGGGGCTCCCCCTCTATTAGAGGCTCCTGGCCTTACTACTAGGAGCGAGGACTCCACTAGGTAGAGGTCCAAACCCACCCCACCACAGCAAGCCATCCAAACTTTTCCCACTTGCGGCAGGCACAGAAGAAAAGAGGACCAGCATTTCTTCTTAAGTTTTCTTGGTTGGTTGTCAGGCAACACGAGGGTGAGGATGTTTTGGGATGCCGTCTCTGCATGGAATGCAGTCGGGCCCCCGGATCGAATAAGACGCTCTGGGTCGCTATACAAGATTGGCACTTATTTTTACTCTCGAACATTGGAGGAGCACCAAAATTCCAGCACGCGTGTGAAAAGTCTAGAAGCTCAGGCAGCTCAGGAAGCTCAGGATTTGAAATCTCCAGCAAGAGCATCGTCACCATCTCCACTTCGCACTCCGAAATCTAAGTCGGCGGCTTCAGCATCGTGTGATACACCACTTTCCAGTCCGCCTGCTGACCAAGAAAGGCCAACAAAGACGGCTCAACGATATGAAAACCTCTTGACTGGGGCCTACGCAACCTTGTAGCATGAAAACCCCATTGCTGATTTCTGCTTGCTCACCGAATTTGCCCGGCTTCGTGGAGGACATCTCCCACAAGCAAAAAGCTCCGAACAAATTTTCGGGGAATGCCGAGAGTTGATTGCCAATCATCTCTTGGAGCAGTTTTTGGTGGAGGTAAGGGCCTCTCCATATTATTCAATCTCCTTGGACGAAAAGGACCGGTTCCTTATTGTGGTGCTGAGCTATTTCAAAGAGGGCCGGAAGACTGTGCCCGTTGCGTATCGTGATTTGCCAGGATTTGAAGCCATTGACATTTTTACATTAGTCCGGTCTTTGTTGGAGAGCTGGGGGCTTGACTGAGCTAACTTGATTGGATTTACAGCTGACGGGGCTTCCGTCATGATTGGCTTTCCGGTGCATTTCCCACTCTTCCCTTCGGGAAAACCAAACACGCTCTAGTTCCGCAAACTAGGAATAAACAACAAGAAGCAACCAAACTGTTCCCTAACCAGGGTTTTCACTTGTAGTCCAGCGAACTACACCCCCAAAAATAGGTTTTGGATACAAAACATGTTCCCCCTTTGTAAGAAGTAAAAACGCTCTAGTTCAACAAACTAGGAATAAACGACAAGAAACAACCAAACAGTTCCCTAACCAGGGTTTTCACTTGTAGTCCAACGAACTACACCCCTAAAAATAGGTTCTGGATACAAAGCATGTTCCCCCTTTGTAAGAAGTAAAACGCCCTAGTTCAACAAACTAGGAATGAACCATTGGAAGGGACAAAACTGGTCCCCAACAAGGTTTACCCTTTGTAGTAGAACGAACTACACGAACAAAAATTGTGTGAACCACAAAAGACCCACTGCAATCGCTCCAGTTCCACTAGCCAGAGCCTTCTCGCGCGCAGGTGGACACGTGGCTTCAGCTTTGGTCGCCCCTAGCTGGCCAGCGTGTTGGCTGGCTGGGGGCGTTAGGGCACAACGACGTCACCATAATTTCGTTAATTTCGACGACGTCACTAAATTCAGTTTTGAATTTAACGAAATTAACCGACGACCCAAGAATTATTTTAAATTGCCCAGATAATATCCCTATCACAGGATGCAGCACGCTGGCGAAAAGGTGACTTGGAGATACTTGGAGAACCATTTCCCTAAGGACCCGAGAGCCCTTCCTCAGGACAGATGTCTACATCTTGATTGCTTATGTCAGTTGGCCCTCAAAAGGGGCTCCCCCTTCCCTTCGCAACGTCCAGCAAAAGCTCCAGCAAGAAAACTCCAGCTGGAATCTAATTCATTAAGGTTGCTTAGTTAATATATCTTTTCAGTCAGCAAACACCTTTAGCTTTGTTTAGGGTACACTTTTTTGTGGAAGTTTACAAACATCATGCAAAAAAAACTCAACGCATAAACGAAAAACACATTGAAAAGATCAAGTAGATCTCTATAGAAATAACACAATAAAGTAAGATAAACACTCAAAGAAAGTAAAAAAACAATCAATCACATCAACTTAAACCAAGAATTGGTGGGGGTGTTCAGCTGTATTTAGGTGTATTAATCCCTGGTCAGCATTAGCCTGATCTGGGCGCATTCAAAGCAACCTTTGGCAGGATACATTATTGAACCAATACATCGTTGGCGTGTTTCACGTGGCTCTTCTGCAAATCCCAAACGCTCCATGTATGCCATATTTGCCTACATTGGGGTGGTTTTGGGGGTCAATGTAGGCATATAACATACATGGAGTGTTTGGGAATGGCTGAAGGTATTGACGAAAGTCTTGTTTTTTTCTTCTCATGATTTCCATCGGGTGTCGTCGAATGGTGATCCAAGGAGGGAGTGGGCAAAAAGCAGCGAGGCTATTGGAGGTCAAACATGTGCTTTCACCTTGGAACGCGCCACAAAGAGCAAAAAAGGCCAGAAACGGTGCGTGAACCCCAAAGGTTCTGGGTAACCTTACTTGGAGGTGATGCGAACGCGGCTACTTACAATGGTTGCCTTCAGCAAGCACTTCAGGCATGTTGCGTACGCACAACATCAAACTTTTGGTGCGCTTGTTTGGGCCCTGCAGCTGTGGGGCCCTGCAACTGTTTCCCAGGTATGATTCAAGCCCCCTTTGGAAGACTCGTGTCTCCGACAATGCCAGGTGCCCCACCGGATCGTTCCAACGTCATCTGAATGCCAAGATTCTCATTCCCCGGTAGGCATCGATGATACAGAAACGAATTCAGGCAAGTGTAGCAAAGAAGCTGAAGCCAAGCACAAGCAGAAGAAACTCGATCAGGGAGTTCCCGGGAAGGTCCCTGAGATTTGTTGAGGTCCAATGTTCACGGCTAGCGAGCTCTTGCGTGGCAGAGTGCCCGATCTTGGCGATTAAGTCTGTGCCGGCACCGGAATCACCGGAGTTTTGAAGCCGATGGCGCAGACGTCTCCGAATGAGCCTGAAAGAACATCGGAATCGAGAGCTCTCCAGACTGCTGCAAGCTGCAGCAGGTCGACAGGAGCTTCCAGCGGATCCTGGGGAATAGGCTCTACGTACGATGTGTACGGTACGTCATGTCGCTGGTTGGTTCTTTGTTCGGGTCAAGCGTGTCCGGTTTCACGTACTCCAGCCAGTATACCCTTCATCACCCTTCCTTCCTGAATCACTCAGACACTCGCAAAGTATCCAGCAGTAGCCAAATGTTATGTTTTCGTCAAGGGAACGTCAGAGTCTCAGGGCTTTGGTACGGTAGGGCAGAACAATCACCATCGGACCATCGTCATTGGCTTTGTCCACTGCTGTTCACTTTGTCCACTGCTCTTTTTGGTCGCGTGTTTCGCTAGGAAATCTGTCAGCTGTCTCCCTATCTCTCTCAAGTGTTCACCGATCACATTTGATCACTGACGGTTTCTTGACCACTCAGTGAGCACCATCTACCTCACACCTGTGCAAGTATTTCTCCGCAAGCCCCACCGGGGGCCCACCATCCCCTACTCAGATCGGACTATGAGGCTCGGCGCCCGTGGTGATCACCCGGGCGAGATGTATTTCAAGAACTCCACTCTATGGGTCCAAATGGGCCCATGTTGTTTGGACCACTAGAGATAGACTTAGATGTTATAACTACGGCTTTGTGATATCACTCATGCATAGAGATGTGATTCACAACTCTATACACCGTTCATGGGCTCATCCCATAGGTAGCACCCAAAAGGGTTCTATGTAGTTAAGGTCAAGGTCTCCAAGACTTGGCTGAGTCAAGCTTCAGGCTTGGCGACCGGATGTGGGTTTCGTGGTGGTGCCTTTGGCCGAAAGGGCGGGCCCGGGCTGCGAACCGCGACCAGATCGGCCAGCGGTGGTCGAAAAGGGAGGACGACGGAAGGGTCTCCCATCCCTGGCGCACCCACTCTGGACTCGGTGGTCGAGGTGGAACGACGACTGTCCGAAAAAGCCTTATACTCAACCAGATCCTTCAAAGTCGCTATAAACCCTAAGCAGAGGATCGTTCTGGACAGCCATGTCTGCACAACTCAAGTTTTCTCAGGTACTGGCAGTCTCCCTTTGACCTGCCTAGGATATCATTTTGAGGCGTGTGTTGGGGTTGTGACCCGGACCTCAGAGCCAATCCCCCCAAAATCCCCCCAAAAAGAAAGTGATGAGCTAAGAGCGGCCACTCCACTCATGACACAATCAAGAAGACGCTTGAGTCAAGACAGTCAAGACCAAGATTCATTATAAGTCAACGGATGTCAACGGGACTTTTTCACGGAGTAAAACATATCCCCCCTTAACACATATATCATAGGTTAGAAACATGCGCAACATGAGGTTTATCACTCACCTGCACCAGTTCTCCGAGGTTTTGGGGGCGTTTCGCACCTCCGACGTCGCGCCCTCCGCCGCCTCTCAGGCGATGAAATACAAACACGTGCCCTACGGTCCGACGCCCCGGTCGTGTCCGGCCGTGGCCCTCGTTGCGCCTGGCGGATGCGGAGCACTAGTATATGGATGCTGGTTGAAATCCATAGATGCCGATAGTGCCCAAATACATCCATGGCAATCCATAGTGCCCATAGTGCTCAATTACATCCAATTACTATGATATCTTCATGCAATTGTTGGGGTTTGGTATGGATGGGTGGGAGCCCATACCAAGGCGGGGGAGAGAGCCCACAGAATGGGTGCTCTCTGAAAAAATAACAGGACAGGAATACCCAGACAATCCATGGGACTTCACCTGGGGTCGATGTAAATAAATATGCCACACATGGATGGTTTGGGGTACGATTGAGCGGTTTTGCAGGCCGGAGGCGCCTGACACCCGGTTTAGTGAACAATGCTTTGGTCCAGAACCACCCAACAAGGGAGGTTTATAGACCCCCCTGAATATGTATAATATAGTATTAGCATTATATTTTATGGCAATTATGTTTTATATTTTATGGCAATATGTTTTAACAAACACAACGTGGTGCTCCCGCATACTCGGCCATAGGAGGACGCCACGGTCTGGGGGGGCTACGGAGACGAACCGATGCCCAAAGGCCCACAGTCTGGTGGTGGTGGCGGTCGTCTCCACACGACCCACCAAGGGACAGTTGCAGGGGGACCTTCTGAGGTGCCCAAAACCATAGAACATCTTGCAGGCTTTCGGGACTCCAATTGGACCCTGTGCAGGTCGAACCAAACATCCACACACAGGGAAACCCATGTCTTCATACTTCACCGAAACGCGGGCCGCCCGGGCCCACTGTGGATGTTTGGCGCAGCGCGACCACTTCCGGTGCTCGCACCACGTGGCGACGTCGTGTTCGCCGGAGCGCCGGAGCGCTCAAGGCCCTGGGGTTTGGCCGGCCTTTTGGTTCCTGAATAGCGACCGTCCTTGGCCAAGTGGTGGGCTTGCCCCAGTGCTGAGGGCGGAGGGCGGTCCGAAACCTGCTCAGAAGTCTTGGCCAGGAGTTCTCCCGTATGTTCTGTGTGGATGTTGTTTTAGTGGGTTGCTGAAGATGGCTTGGGTTTGCTTGGGACGATGAAGGTTTAGTCAAACTATCTACAGTAAGGATAGTTGCGGATTGAATGACGCTTTTGATATCTTTGATAGTTTGATTTGGGCTTTTAACCAACAGCCCTTGTGTATCCTTTTGTAACGCATCAAGTTGGGAAGCAAGCTGGCAAAAGTTCTATTCATGGAACATTAAAGGTAGCGCATATAGCTCGACCTTCCAGGCCACCAGGCCCTTTTTGGGGGCCTGCTCTCCGAGCATTCCGACCCTGGGAATGTCCGACATTTGTCGGACCCTGAATCATCGCCTCTTCCGGAAGATAACTCGTTCGGTATCTCCGGTATGGACATCTCTATAAGCATGGGGAACTTGGCAGCGCACAGTGCCCAACAAAGGTGGAAAGGAGGGTGAATCATGAACATGACCAGCACCATCCAGCTCGGGTGGTTTTAATCGACCCCCCTCCAAATGTATTGTCCATCTAATACCCACCTGACATGGGTGGTGCTGGAGTGCTGGAACATGGACTTTATGATATACGACCATGCCATACAACTTGTGACCTTGGGAGACTTGAGGCCAACCAAAGGATGTCGAACAATCTCAGATCACCTTGCCTTGCTTGAGGTCTATAGGCGGTCTAGGAGCGTTTGATTCGGACTTTGGAGCTGAATGATCTACCTTTCAACACCACCCTCTTCAAGACTGGTGATGAGAGTTTTGCCCCCCCCAAATTCCGTGCAAAAAAAATCCGTGGATCCCCGTCAGAGGGATCCTTTTCCTGTAGCCTGTACACTCCGTAGCCCCGATTTGGGATGACCATGAAAACCGAAGGCATCCGCAGACCAAACAGGTGGTTCTTCCATGATTATTTCAAGGAGTGTAGTGTTCGATCCTGAAAAGCAAAACCACCCCTCCTCCCTAGCAAACAATCGAGGGAGGCTGAATATAGAGTCAAGTCCACCAAAAGCCATTGAGATTGAGGAGTAGTGGCAGCAGCAGCAACAGGTGGTGGTGGTGGCGGTGGTGGTCGTAGTAGTAGTAGTAGTAGTAGTAGTAGTAGTAGTAGTAGTAGTAGTAGTAGTAGTAGTAGTAGTAGTAG